GTTTTTGGCCCAGCCCGACCATGACCCTATTAGGGTGTGGGCTGACCTGACCCTATAGGGACAAGAGCCAGGCCAAGGGCCCCGGTCCATTGCCACCTTAATTTAAAGTAGTAAACTGCAAGTGCTTCACACGTGTTGCTGGAATATTATTTTTTTAAAAATACTAGAGTTAATCATTATAGTTGTATAAACAAAATTTATTCATGAAATACGAATCAACACACTTGCTCTAGAATAAAAAAGAAAAGAAAAAGAACTCCATTATTACACGTTGCTCTAGAATTTTACTACTTTTGTGTTGAATTCTTAATGAAACACAGTTGAACATAAGATTTTGGAGTAAGAAGCATTTTACTTTTAAATATACCATAAAATTTTTTTTGCTGAGCACATCAATTGCCATTTCATACCATTGATTATGAATAACAATATACTTCCCTTTTATTAAAGAGATGATGGTCATGCATAGGGTCTTAGCAAGAGAGTCTATAGAGGAGATAGGATATGGAAGATGCAGGAGCTAGCAGTCTTAAAAATTGTAAGAAACAACTTTTGAAACTTATAAATATTTAAAACATAAAAATTGTAGCTAAAAACATATGAATTCTTTAAAATTTATGAAATAAGAAATAATGCTAGCTTGCTAAATATCATACTTCAATTTTTTTTTAAAAAAATCACAATTAAAAGAATTGAAACATATCATAGACAATTTTAAAATATAAAAATTGATAATCAAGAAGTACAAAATTGTATAAAGAACACTATAAAAGGTGATACATTTAAGATTCAAAAGTATTATTTCAAAACCAAGAGATTAGGAGTGACATAATGTAGATTGAAAATGGTAAGAGAAAGCTAGTAGAGATAGGAACGTAAAAATTAGTTATAAATAATTATAATAAATAAAAATTCATAATTAAAAGAAAATACTGCTCAAGAGTCTCAAAAAATTAACGCAAGCATACTAATCACACATTTTGTAGAAATTATTACTTCATAATTACAAAACCTTAAAAGATGGTCATAAAAATGATTAAAATACAAAATTAGCAATTAACTATATCCTTTCCAAAATTCCTAAAAAAAAGGCGGATATGTTATTTAAATTAGAAATGAAGCGAGGTTCTTAGCAAGAGAGACCTGTAGAGGAGATGGCGTGAGAAAGATAGAGGAGCTAAAAATTATAAAATAGTGAGAAACATCTTTTGAAACATATAAATATTTATAACGTGAAAATTGTAATTAAAAAATAGAAATTATTCAATACAAAATCCCAGGTTTCATTAAATCCTATACATAATGAATATAAAGTGTTTATGTGATATTTTAATATAATTCATAAGGATTTGATCTGAAATATTAAATTACATGTAGAGGGTATTATTATGATTATTATTAATTCAAATATACCTATATTTCGAACTCACAAAATAAATTAATTAAAACTACGTAATTGTTATTAGGGTTATCTAAATGTCAGTGAGAGATGAACTATTTAATATTGTACCCATATTGTTCAATTAATTTCAAAATACCCATAAAAATTCACATGATAATGACTTGGAATAGTTGCAATTGGGAAGAGAGTTAAATAGTTGATCTTTTATTGGCATTTTGATAAATTTCCGTTATTATTATAATTATGTATACAAAACAATACTAGTAGTAGTAGTAATAACAATAGTTTTATGAGTGGCAATATATTTTAAGAAAATTATACATCTATGAGTGTAACATATTCATAGTATTCGATTAATATTCTAATTACAATAGTTTGATGATTAGTAATATATAATAACAAAATTATACATATATGAGTGTAATATATTCATAGTATTTGATTAATTTTGTAATTACTTTTAAAGTATTATAATATTACAATTATAGTATTAATGTTTTTAATTGTGTTTATATCCATATGATTTAATTATTGTAATAATTTGGAATGCTAATAGTTATTATAATAAAATTAAGTCATTGCAACTGTAAATTATTATTGATGAACTTTATTATATAAATAGATAATTGTATGCAAATTTATTTAATTTTATTGGATTATTATTAATTAAAACATATAATTAATATTCGATTGAAAACTTAATAGTAATATATAAATATCATGAATGACACTATGGTTAGTATTGTTATAATATATGAGTATTCTATTAATTTTAGTAATAATCAATTTATCAACAACATATTTTTTGTAATATTTATAGTTATAAAAGAATTTGCTATATTATTCATTATAATAATGGGTATCATTTATTTATAATATTAATATCGTCATTCATAATTGTTATAACATATATGT